CCAACCCCCCAATACCACCCTATCCCCCTCCTGCCCTCTGCACTCTCCTCAGCTGAACAGGGTCCCCACTCGCCCTCTCCTCATCTGAATGTGGCCCACCCCACTGCTCACCCCGCCTCCCTGTGTAATCCCCTAATCGAATCCCGTATCCCAGTCTCTTCAGCCGGCCCCACCATAGTAAGCATGTCATTCCCCGGGTGTGGGAGGGGGAGGGTGGAGTTTATCTCAGTTCCCCAAGTCGAGTTCAGGGCGGTGAGAGACTTCCATCTGGACTTCCATCTGGGTGGGTCCCGGTCTCTCTCATTCTGTAGCCTTGGGTGTTCCATGGTGCCTGCCTGAATGCCTGGGCGCCTGGACTTGTAGCAGGTCCAGTACAGCGCAGGACTCAACACACAGACGTCAGTGAGTGTGTGCAGAGCAGGGCTCAGTATATATGGATGTGAGTGAGCACGTGAGGGGGTGTATGCAGAGCAGGGCTTGGTACACGGGGACATGAGTGAGTGAATACGTACAGCCCTGCAGAGCAGGGCTCAGAACACCTGGACGTGGGTGAGTATGTGCCGAGCGAGAACTGGGCTCAGTACACCTGGATGTGAGTGAGTGAACATGTGCCAAGCAGGGCTCAGTACATCTGACCATGAGTCAGTGCATGGGTGGGTGCTGGCCTGCAGACCACACTGTGTCCTCTTGCTCTGACTCTTAGTATCTCTCTTGGACTCTGGGTCACAGGACAGTTACAACTATGGGCCGATGGCAGCCAGTGGTTACGAAGGCCATCAGTATACCCAGCCTGCAGCCAGCCACCCACCACACAGTGCCACCGACTCTCTCTACCAGGCAGGTGAGTTCCCCGAGTGCTGCCATGAAAAACCATGTGTGGACATTATAGACCCACTAGGAGTCAAGGCCCAGTGGTGGACTGCAAAGGTTGGACGCTTAAGTCTACCCAGTCCTTGGAAGAAAGGCCTGGCAATGTACTTCTGGAAAATCTAAAAATGGGAGTCGGGTAGACAGACGCCTCAGTCCGGCCCCAGCCCCTGCACCACACACATGGTCACCACATGTTGCTGGCATGGCGCTAGGAGGCCTACTGGCTAACCGGATTTGTGTGGAGCTTCCAGATGAAATGGATGAGGTGACTTCTGAGAATCATCTGTGAGAACCATGTGGCTCAGTGTCCTGACCACAGCCCCTCTGTGGATGGCCCAGGGCCATCAGCCATTGGTCCTGGGTGCTTGGGCCACCTTGAGTGGGCTTGGCTGGCAGCAGGGGCTGGTTGGTGAGGTTGACGAGCGGGGCTGGGAGTGAGGAGAAGATTGCTTCGTGCCAGGTTGCCAGGAGCTGGTGGCACCATGTAGGGGGGAGGCAGAGGGAGAAGTGCCAAGCTGAGAGTTCTTTATGGGTGCCCAGGACAGGAGGGTACAGCCCAGAGCCCTCCCCCCTTCCCCCACCAACACCCAGAGGAGGGAGGAGCTAGGTGTGATAGAAGTCGTGAACACAGGTCTCGGAGTTACTGTCCCAGGCCCGGCCAGCACAGACCAGCCTCTCCATATGGGGCTTGGGGCAGATTACAGCCTGGCGCTCCATCTCCAGCCAGGTGGTGAAGGCTGTGTTTGTGCCCTAGGTATTAAAGAAGGCTACAGCCAGCCTAGTGGAGGCTACAGTCAGACCCAGCCCGGAGGGACACCTCCCAGGTGCACCTATCCCACCGGCATGAGTGTCCCACCTGCTGCTTCGGCCCCGGCAGCACCAGCATACACCCTGACCTCGTGCAGCGTGCCCACTGCCCCCTACCCCGGTAAGAAGAGAGCAGCCGGGCTGTGTTGGGGCCCCTGGGCGGCTGACCAGAAGACCAGGAATCGTGGGAGAAAGGCCTGGCCATAGCTCCCGTGAAGACGATGGTTCCAGTCTCGGGGTGGTTCCACTCTCATGTGGGCTCACTAGGGGTCGGAATCAACTCCCAGGCACCTAACCCCACCCCAACCCCACCTGGGGATACCTGGTGTTCTACTCCCCAAAACTCAGCCCTGAAATCCCCAGGGAACATAGCTCTTCGCCAACGGGGGGGTGTGGGGGTGTGGGGACCGCAAGTAGCAACAGCTGGTCCCGATGCGAAGGGATGGAGTGACCCTACACAGTCCGTTTCTGCTTCCCAGGGTCCAACTACTCGGCCTACGACGGATCGGCGTATTCATCCGCCGGGCATTATTATCCGCCGACACCCACTCCGCAGACGCAGTCCCCGGCGCCCACCCCATCCGCGCTGCCGCCACCCCCGCCGCCTCCCCCACTCCCGCCCCCCTCCTCGCAGTGGGCTGCTTCTGGGAACAGCCCCCACGCTGGGCCTGCCGCCGCCACCGCCACGAAGCCGTGCAAAGCCAGGAGCGGCCCCAGGCAGTCGCCGCTGCACTACTGCGAGGTCTGCAGGATCAGCTGTGCGGGGCCCCAGGTCAGCACTGCCCCGCGAGTCTGCGGGGGGGCGGGGGTCACTACCCGCCTGGGTGAGGGGCCCTGCCTCCGGGGGACACTGAGCGGAGGCGGCAGATGTGGCCCCAAATG